TGGGGCTTCCGGTTTCTGGTGTTGTGTCCCCCCCCCCCCCCCCCCCGAGGGATCCACAGTTATATATACAGAAAAGATATATTCATATCTGACTCCAAATTCTGAAGCTCCTTCTCTAACACAGGGAACTTCACCTAAGGAAGAACTGAGCAGGGACAAGAGAATTTGGGAAAACACTGAGAGGTTGCTGTTGGAGGAAAACATTCTGCAGGGATGAGTGTTAGCTTGAAAGGTACTTGTGAGATGGGAACATGGCTTATTACGCTTGAATTGTTGTATACAAGCTCTTCAGGATTGTTTCTTTGTTTTGTGCAACACCTGTTAAAGTGAGATTGTCTTTTGGATATGCTACTGCAATATCAATATTAAAAGCCATTCCCTTGCAATTCCCACCTGAAAATGGAACTGGCTATTACCTTCCTGAGAAGAATTTGAATGATCCTTCCCCAGGGAGAGAATCAAATTGCCTTCCAGAAATATAGAGGGAAAGTGTTTTTTTGCTGGGGGGGAGGCAGGGAAGAATGTTTTAACCTAGATCTCTAAAGTTAATGTCAAGCTGGAAAAAAAAATTGCAGTATTCACTAATATTAAAATGCTGTATTTAACAATTTAAAACAATTATGAAAAACTCTTCTGGCAGACAGTGTAGTTTTTTTATTGAGGAAATTTTGTTTTGTCACCATAACTAAAAAGTGACTGGTTCTGTTAGATACCAGCATTCCAGCAGAATTAATCTGTGTATTATTCTTGCTGCTGCACTGTAGTGTTTTGGATAAATTGTATTTAAGACCTTTGCAAGTCTGCAACACATTTGTAAATATTCTTTACTTCCCACTTGTCAGGGAGCGTGATTTTCTCCTTGCTGCCTTTGCCAAAAGCATGAGTGACAGACTCCACGCTCTCAATCCAGACATGGGATTTCATATGCTGGCTTTCTGCCTATTAGCATATGGCTGAAGAGACTTGAAACTGGCTAGATAAAAGGAGAGTTTTTTCAGCTTGGAAAGAAATTGTGGTGTTATACTGAGGTCAGGGGTAGATCTGGTAGATGAAACGTATAAAGTTTATGTAAATAGACTGTTCTTATTAAAACACGTAGCTTGAGATTCTAGAACCTAGCAATGAAAACAGTTGTAAAATAGGACTCTGGTACTTTAGACTAAGTAGCATCTAAGTACTTAAAAAGTTAAACCTGTGTTTAAACTCTCCATCCACAAGATGACAGAATGGTTACTGGTATGTAAAACTACATATACAGTTAGTTGGAAGATACTAATGTTTAGAAATGTAAGCATGGAGAATGCTGTGGTGAAAGTGTTTTTAAAGGTCATCAACACTTTCAGTGTCTTGGAGTGGAATGATCCCTTAAAGCATCTTCAAAGTCAAGTCAGCCAAATCACTCAAAGAATAAATTAGCATGGTACCTATTAAAAGGGGTTCAGCCATGGTGAACAGAAGTGGTGCTACCACACCACTGACAAGTACCAAGCAGACCAGTAGTCCCACTGCTGAGAGAAACTGAAAACAGGTAAGCAAAATGAAAAAGCCTTTTCCTCAGTTCTCAGCTCCCCCACTTCTTGTTAGTAGCACAAGTCATCTTGGGTATAAACAGCTGGTGGGTATCCAGCAGTCTGACAGCATCCTAATAATGATCATAAAAAGACAAGAAGCACAACCTAAATATTTCTTAGGGGTCTTCCCATACTACAAAATACGTAAGATGCCATGCAGGTAAAAGTTCCCTGTTAGTAATCAGTAACCCTTTGCCTAAGTCCGTGGCCCAAAGAATAAACAAGCCTCTGAATTCTACAGAACATCATCACAGAGTTTAGCGGGTTATTCCACAAGTGCCGTCCGTCTGACTTGCAAAGGCTGGTAAGAAGCTATCCGTGAGCTAACATGTCACTCTAAGTGACCAGTCAACACAGAAGATGTGGGCACAGAATGAGTCACTGGTTTTTTTCCACTGAGTGAACCCTGTACTACTACAATTGGCCTGGTAGCTTTCAGATTGTACATATGCAGTATAAATCTCTGACTGCTTATTTTACTGTAATTTTTGTATGTTGGCAAACTGGGCAAAGCTATAATGACTTCAGTAATGAAAATTGATATTTGTACAGCAGTACACTGTGCAACAGATTTCTACACAACTCTCCATGAGCATCTCCATTTAAGGCTTAAGACAGCTAAATTACTGTAAATACATTGGAATGATTTACCTTTAGGGTGATGAGCCTTAAACGGTAATCGTCTGCTTGTATGACTCGGTTAACTGTGATTTCTATTCCTTCATAGGTGACCTGTTCCTCTGGCCAATATTCTGTGCATTTCTGTGTGCAATATAAAATAAATCTAGTTAAGCAGATATCAAGGGAGGTTCATTTTTACTCCTCTGAAATTGGATATAGCACATGCACAGATGAATACGAATGAACATTGTTTCTATAATAAGTACAAGTTTTCATTTTCTAAACAGGGACCACATTTCAGGTGATTTTTGCTGCATTCATAATAGCCTGATTGCATGATTAAAAATGCACAGATCAAGTAATGACTAACCAATGCTTTTAAATAGACACATCTTTCTTTATCTTTATGTAACTGATGTGCATTTTGAAGGTTCATTAGAAAGGCCACTGGCCAAGTGCCTGTGTTTTTAGATTAATCCTCTTCTTAAGATAATAATGATTAGTATCATATACACTAGTTACCAATATTTCTGTGGTGTGTATGCACTGATATGGAAACACAAAATACATCTTTTCTATTTTTTATATTCAGAGAGCATTGACCCTTTATAAGATGATCATTTGCATAGGTTTTTGTACAAAAGAACATGACTGAGGATGTTTTGGGAATTAGATTATGTACCAAAATCCACTTTAAATGGACACTGAGAATCTTTCAAAGCTAAGGAACTAAAAGGAAGCAATAGCTGTGAGAGCTATTAGACTACTACAATTGATTTTGCCAAAAAAAAGTCAGATGCAGCCAGCACAACCTGACAATTAGAGAAGGAGAAACCATAGTCCATTTGCAAATCTACATTGTGGTACTGATACACTAGACATGAGTAGGTGAGAATTTGTAAGCGCTCCTATCCTGGAAGGAGGACTGAAAAAGACTGTGTTTTTTTTGGTATGCGGTTTCTCTTTAAACTAATCAATATGCAAAGGAAGAGACAAGCACTTCAACATGGTGCAGGAACTAGTTCATGGACAAGGAATGACATGAACAAGGCAGGGTCTGATAAAAAGGCTCCCTTGTGATAATGGAAGAAGCAAGCTCATTATCACAGGAGAATACAAATCTGCTATTGGACAAACCCAGTTAAAGATGATGTAAGCTTCCTCTTTTACATAGCTGTACACAGTCTTGAAGGAAGTAAGTTAAATGGTTTTGCTCTCCCTCACCAAAAATAATTTCACTTCAGGAGAAAGACTAACAACGGAAAAGTATCTCGCAAAGTTACTGAGTCAAAATTTTTGTGTGGGAGAATCATTGTTGTTCCATCTGCATAGTGCATCAGTTAATAACCCACTGGGAATGTAGCCCACTGTGTCTCTGTGAAGTTATTTACGCAGATTGCATTTTTAATTCCTCTCCTCTTAAACTGCAGAATCCATTGTAAAAATTGTCAAGAGCGCTAGCAGCTATCAATAGCACAGACGTTGCTCTGCTTAAAGGAGTGGAGTAAGATTGCCCACTCATTCTGTGGGCTGTCTGTCAGTTCAGATTAGATGTGACAGAGGGCTGAGATACAGAGCTTTTAATACTCACATTAGCAAAGTCATTGCACTAAAGAGGAACACAAAGCCTCTGTTATTAGCATCATTGCCAAACAAAGGTTTTGGTTTTGAATCTGCGTACTTCTGAGTCCTGTTATTCATGTATTAATATATGTGTTATGGAAGAAAGGGAATGAATATAGGAGACATTTACATGAAAGGACTTAACCTATATTTATGACTGAGATTCCTGACACCGTTTAATTTTTGACGCAAAAGGTATCAGAAAAGACTCAGCAGCTCTGTTATGACATATAGGCTGTAGCAAGCTCCAGTTATATAGTGCATCAGCACTGCAGTGCACTGCTTCCCAAGACTGATTATGATGGGTGAAATAATTGGTCAGTGTGGATAAGAGGAAATTCAGATGTAAAGGTTATTTTACACTCCTGTTATACAATCTTGCTATGAAAACTATAGTGGAAGAACTTATCACCAGATATGTATTTAGGACCAGTATTTCCTCTACATCATCTTCTTTAAACCCCAAAGTCCTTAAATGATTCTGGTACAGTATGTCATGACATTTTAACATCTTATTTGCCATAAACTAGCAACTCTGATCAACAAGCAAGTTACTACTTCAGTGCTGCCTCTCAGATAGAGGCAGATATGAGTTTAAAATGTTAGTGCAAACAAAACATTTAGATCAGCAACATACCGTACTTTGCATCAGCAATGCCTTGACAGTATGCGTCCAATCAGCTGGCTGTATTAACTGATCATTTTTAACTTGCAAAGCATGACAATTCTGTGTCTGTCTTGTTCATGTCTTTTCACTAAAATCCAAGGTTAAATTTATTTACTTCAGAACCGGGGAAAGCTAAAGGTTTGTGCACATGTATAATTACGGGCACTAAGCTTCCAGCTAGTAGTTAAGCCATTATAACTCTGCGTGTATGACAGAGGTATGCCCATATTCTTGGGCTTCTAAGTGTCTAAAGCCTCTTCGCCAAAGGAAATTCTCTCACCTAAATTACTAATGCATTCTCAGGGACAAGCTTTGACAAATACTACTGCTGCTGCAGCTTAAGAAACACCATTTGGATCTCTCCACTACACCTTGCTGCCAGTGGTGAAGTGGGATGCAGAGCCCAGCACATGCCCAGACCACTTTCTCACATCTTACGCTGCCAATAAAGGCAGACCTAAGCCCAGCAACCTGTCTGTGAACTGAAGCCCAGGCACATGGTTCTTGCAAGTCTGCTATGGGGCAAGTATTTTAGCAGGTAAGTAATGAATAGCTGGAGGGCAGCAGTAATTTAAACTGCAAACAAAAATCACATTAGGTGGATTAGCAGAAACACCATGACAATTTAATTTCTGGAAGTAGGTGCTGAACAGAAAATTTCAGCATCTTAATATTTCAAAAGCATTTCCTAGACACATTCAGGAAAAGGTCCTCCATATCCAAGTCAGCTCTAGTTGTTGATTATTATAACTAGCACCTTTCATAAGTCAGGGACAGCCTCAATGAAATGTTGATATAGACACTGAATCATAATAAATGCAAGATAAACCAGCACCAACTCTGTTGATTAAAGATATTCAACCTTAGTAGTTATGGGGTACTATTGTTTTTGATTCCTTTAGAGAGAACTTGAAAGAGTGTCTGCAAATAGAGCTGGGTTTGGAGAGGTTTCAGGTCAGCTGGGAGAGGAAAAAAGGCCAAACCAGCAGTAGGCTAAGTCAGACTGCAAAACAAAACTTACAGTAAACTGAACTGAAAAAGAAGCCCACATCTTCTCTGAGCCTGAAGAATTTAATGCTGGCTCTGATTGCTCAGGCCACTGAACCAACTTCTGTTTGCTGGCTTAGCATCTATGCCGAAAATATCAGCTAGAGTACAGATAAAAATATAGACTATATGTAACACCATTACCTCATTCATCTCTTCTATATTGGTAATCATGACAATGATGGGAGAATGCTCCTGCCACACCATTCTCCAGAAATCACTGACAGTATTAACTATCGGTCCCTGAGTAGCAATATATACCTTTTCCTCTCCTCCATAGCCCTGCCAACAAAACAACAAGAGATCAGTTTTAACAGGGATGACCACCACAACCTTGAAGGTTCAGTCTTTAAAACAGAGAGCTACCACTGGTTGGAATGGTGACTCCACGGCATCAGTTCTTACCCTCTCTATCTCTCTCCTGCACAGGTGTACATGGAGCAAAGGCACAATATGGACTCACATAATTCCAGCAATAAGTGTCCAACAGCCTTGAGGTGACTCTGGCTAGGTCAAGAGCCTTATTCAGGCTTATTATCCCGTGCCTTGGTCAGGCCAGCTGACAAGCAATTTGCATCAAGAAGTGCGGAAGTGTGTTTTTGTCTGGTCTGAACCTGTACAGCTGCACTTTGAGATTTGGTTTTCAGTTAATATAAGCAGGAGAGAAGAGCAATCAGTTCAGCTAGGATGCCTTTAAAAGCCAGTGGATGTTGCAATTCTGTTTACATTAACAGTGGCTGATAGAGGCTAGGCAGACACATTGGACTATTGAGCTCTTACCCTGATGTAGTTAGCATTGATGTAAGAACTAAGGGGGTCGTCCTCATCAGCTGAGGTAAGGCACACTCTGCTGTGAGGATCTGAAAGGTGTAAAGAGATAAGTAATAGTTTATCAGTTGCTCAGAGGAGGGAAAGAGAGACACAAGATTATTTTGTACAGTGAGACATTTACATGCATTCATAGCCATCACAACAGATGTGAGTGGCCTTGGAGAGCTCCCATGTTAAAATGTTACCATAAAAAAAGGGAAAGAGTGGTTGGGGTAATTTGGCTTCTTCTGATAGTTTTACCCACTCTCTGAAGCCTGCTCAATTGTTCCTGTTGCGGAGTCAGTGTCCCAGAGTGACTCTGGAAAAGCAGTTTTCTGCTCCAGGAAATTACTTCTCCATTTGTTAGGTCAACAGACTCATTCTGGCTTGTAAAACATTAGAATACCGTTTGTGAAATGACAGCAAACAGCTCTTCTCCCAAACCATAAACACACATTCCTTGCACATAGGAAAGCCAGATGACAGTAAGTCCTTCCCTGTTTTGTCTTGCAGTGAACTAAACTCCAAGATGTGCTATTAACAAATACAATAGTTAAAGAGAAATTAAAGAATATGAACAGTCTCTTGTACTTTGCATAAGTCTCTTCAGTACTTGAGTCTCCCTCATTGGAGCTGTTTATGAAGCATTATTCTTGTTTTAATAAGATGACAAATGAAAACATTATTCCACCTGAGAAGTTCAGTCCAATTCCCACTGAAGTCAATGGGAGCTGTTCCACTGATTTTAATGCGAGCTGACACAGGCCCACGTTCATCCACTTTCACCAGTACTACACAGTTTGTTATCATTGACAAGAAACATCCTCCTGACAAGAGGCCTCAACAAACAGCAACACCATGTATCTCCAGGAGAATATTAAAAACAAACCACAGATGACTTCTTCATAAAAATATCCAGCCTGCTTAGAAACCAGAACAGAATAAAAACATATGCAAAACCGCTGTGGTATTGGGTAAAGCACAAAGGACTAAGCACACAGTAATTTCTACAGTACTACAAACACAGACTCAGCATGAAACACTGTCCTCAGAATGGATTCATGTGTTATCTATTATGTGTTAATATAATCACAATCCGCAAAGCAAAGATATTAACAAAGATACTGTTTTATAGCACAGAAGTACTGAAAACAGCGAGTTCCTCTCTAATACAGTTCCCTCCTGCTCAACTTTGCTCACGTCTCTAGTGCTGGAGAGATGGTGAGACAAGAGATGAAACCTGCTTTTTAATCAGTAATTCTGATAGCCTGCAACGTGTCACACCATTAAAAAGGTGACATTGGTTGCCAGATGTTTATTCAAATATCACTGGACTAGTTAGTTAGATCCCTTGCACGAAGTCCCTTTGCCTGGGTTTTATGCAGTCATCCATGGAGTCTACTGAAGTTTGAGTAATGATTACATGATTTTTTCCTACTAATAATAGCAGTAATACTACGTTGTCCATCTCATGGTGGGTCTTTAGGGAGAAATATAACGGATCTGAAGAACTCTATCAACAGGTGCCACAGACTTTTAAGCACAGGCTTCCTTTAGTATTTTTCAACTGCAGTAGAATTTGAGTTACTTTTCAACTGTGGACTTTTTTATTGCTGTATCCACAAATATTAAAACATTATTCAGATATGCTTTTACTTTAAATTATAATACTTGGCTTGTGATTTTTCTGTTAATGTAGTACTTACATTTGTTAAGGTAGTATGTTAGTGAACAGTTTCAACCTTATTTCATATGAGAGGCCTATTAACGCACTGTAATATAAGAATGTGCACTGTTTTGCAGAAAGTGTAACCAAAGCTGAATTGCATCTCTTAGAAATATATAAACGGGAATAACTCCTTTAAAAAAAATCATAACAAGACTTTAATATAAAAGTTTACTGAAAATTTCAAATTCATACTGCAGAGAGGCATTTAAGCAAAATCAAATCCTACTCTTAATGAAAAGATTTCTCCCAGGACAAAACCAGTGCACAGGCCAGTTCAAGAAGACAGCATGCCTTTAAAAAAGCAGTAGTAGTCTGCATCTCTAAGAAACCAAATGATATGTCAGCTATTTTTTCCACAGTCTCTTTTATGGCCATTTTGCATTGATACTATGTCTGACATTTTAGAGGAACTCGCTACTTATTTGAAATGTTTTGCATAACTTAAAAAGGTGTAAAGGCAATAAAGCTATGTAGAAATTTAACAAGTTTGTCTAGACATTACTCTTGAAAAAAGGATTCAATGAGATTGATATACAACGTGCTCCAATCAGTTCTTGCCATCTCTGGAATTCTATAACAAGAACATTCTTTTCTATACATTCAGAAAGTGTCTCCAAATATCTTAGGAAAAAGTTATCATTTTCCAGGAAATGCCATAGGACTTATCCCCAGAAGAGGACTGTCTGCAAACAAACAAATTCATAGTTGTAAAATATCCAAATCAACCTCCTTAGCTTGGCGTTTTCCCAAAAACACTCTTCTGTCGTCGAAAAGCCACCTTCTAAGCCATTTTACTACTAACAGCAAAATTGGAGAATCTGCAAAAAGAATTTACTACAAAAGAAATATAAATGAGATTAATTACAGACTATTATGCTGTCTCTCACTTCTACAATCAACTGTAGGGTTGCAAGTAACTGATCATTATTTTAAGTGACTGCTTACCTTTTAATGATAACTGCCTAGATTGCTTCTGGCGATGCAGCTGGTAAGGGAATTTCAGTTACTTTTAAAATTTAATTTAATCAAATTTAATTTAAATTTGACGTTCCCTACAATAATCAGTTGTCCGAGTCTGCTCTACTGCAGCTTGTTCAGCAGTTCCTGCCATTACCGCTTTCTGCAGCTAGAACTTGGAGGAATGCGAGGTAGATACCCAAGGCAGCATAGGCTACATTTGGTCAGCTCAGAAATGAAAGTCAGTGGATGGTCAAAGCCTGAAAAGCACTGGACTCTCCCTCATCTTGCCTCCGGTTCCCTCTCCTACTTTGTGCGTGGATAGTTTACTGGGATCCTTGGCTTCGAAGCATAAAGGGGACATTTAGCTCTCCTTGCTAGTATCTTTATTGACAGCACCAAGCTCTTCAAAATGGAGTAGCTGGATAGAAGTGAACAGTCAGCCTCTTCTATCCTCAGCAGTATCAAGCCAACCTTTGGTCACAGCCAGGGACAGAGTTGCACAGAGATTACTAGTTTTGGAATTAATTCAGAAAAAATATCCAGATCATAATGAGCTTGGAATAAGCTTGTTAATCCTTGGAGGCACAGAATCATACAATCATTTAGGTTGGAAAAGACCTTTAAGGTCATCAAGTCCAACCGTTAACCTAGCACTGCCAAGTCCACCACTAAACCATGTCCCTACGTGACACATCTATACATCTTTTAAATATATATCCAGGGATGGTGACTCAACCACTTCCCTAGGCAGCCTGTTCCAGTGCTTGATACTCATTTTGGTGAAGAAATTTTTCCTAATATCCAATCTAAACCTCCCCTGGCGCAACTTGAGGCCGTTTCCTCTCGTCCTATCACTTGTTACTTGGGAGAAGAGACCGACACCCACCTCGCTACAACCTCCTTTCAGGTAGTTGTAGGGAGCGATGAGGTCTCTTATCGCTGAGCCTCCTTCTCTCCAGGCTAAACAAC